GGAGCGTGTGTGGTTAACTGGCACACTAACTTGGACTAAAAAGGGTGGCAAAGGGTAGCTTGAGAATTATTATAGATCAATGGAGCGTGTGTGGTTAACTGGCACATTGATTAGGTCGTAAATGACATCGAGAGTACCAAGCTAATTTGCATGGTTACTCACACATTGTTTGTGATCCTCGGTATCCCAGTCATAAACTTGAAGGGCATAACCGAGATTAAACATGTCATTGAAAAGTTCAATGAATCTCAAAAGAATCTAGGAATTTCATTTCATTTAAAACCTAATTCTTTATTTCGTTTTTCGTGGTAGAATTGGTAAATCGTCATTTACCTACCTTCAAATAATTTACAAATGGATTATGGCATCCCTCTTCTGAATTGTGAATTATTGTGTTGGGTCTTATCCTTAATATTTCATTTGGGTGTTATATTAAGGACTCCTTATCTAATCAAAACTTTGTTCTTCTTCTTTTTTAGATGTCTACCTCAAACAACGCTTCCGGTTCCTCCAACAACAACTCATTCTCGCTATTGAACATTTGTGCGAGGGTCACATTCGATGGTTCCAACTTCAATAATTGGATCCGCAACATTCGAATGGCCTTGCTCTACGAGGACAAAGAATATGTCCTCGACAATCCGTTAAAAGTGGTTGATGAGTCCAAAGATACTCTCGACGAAATAGCTGAGTATGAGGCTCATCACAAGGATGCTACTAAGGTGTCCTGTATTTTGGTAGCCACCATGACTCCTGAGCTGCAGCGGTTCTACGAGGACTACTGGCCCTACGAGATGTGCAAGGACTTGATGGAAAAGTACCATCAACGAGCACGTCAAGAGAGGTACAAGATAGTCACCTCATTTATCACCACCAAAATGAGGGAAGGAGAGTTCATCACGAGCCACTTGCAAAGAATGCAATGATATGTGGATCGTCTCTTGAAGTTGAATGTGAACTTTGACGAAGAGTTGGATATTGACATAGTCTTACACTCTTTACCTCCTTGCTATGATCAGTTCAAGATGACTTATCATATGAGAAATGAGGAAGTCACATTGAGAAAGCTTCAAGGCGTGCTAAGATAAAGGGATTTGGAAGAGAAGCTGACCGAAATAATTACAGGACATCAAGGATGGGAAGATAAAGCCCTCCTTCGCAGGTATTTACACTATTCTATCTAATAACTCATCACATGATAGTTCTTGGGTCCTTGATACAGGATGTGGTTTTCACATTTATTCTAATTTGCAGGGGGCTAAAAAGAAGTAGGGATATGGAGCATGGGAAGATGAACTTGATTATGGGGAATTGTTAGGACATAATTTATGGTTTATACTTTACTTTTGATGACTTTTAGTGTTCTCGGTCCATGACCGAAAACATCATGTTCTCGGTGGTGTTTGGACCGAAATCACCATGTGATTTCGGTGGGCTTAGTGAGGATTTCGGTTGGGTTTTGGGTCGGGCCTATGAAATTAGGTCTAGGTATATATATATATATTGTTATTTCAGCCGTGAAAATGGTTGGTCATTCTTAGGAGCTGAGATCATGTTTTAGAAAAAGAGAGAACCGAGAGCCAATTTAGAATCTTATGTACTAGACTATTATCAACATAGTGTGCATTGAAGATTGATAAATGTGTTCTTAATTCATAATAATTGTTTTTGCATTAATCACTTTATTGGGATTACGCACCAATTATTGTGATTTCGATTGATACTATATTTTGGGTTTTACAGTTGGTATCAGAGCTTGGATCGGTATTAATCGATTTGGCAAAGTATTAAACATTTCTTGGAGTTTTTCTTGGAGTTTCTGGCATTTTTGATTTATTTTGACAAAAAGTATTGTTGTTTGTTCTTTGGGTTCTTCATTATTTTAGAGTTTTTTGATCGAATTTGGTTTGAAATTTTGAAAATTCCGTGTTTTTTGGGCAACTTTGGTCTCAGCTTTGAGAGTTCTCGGCGGAAAACCTCGTCCTCGGTTAGGGTTTAAGGAGTCTTCGGAGGCCAGCAAAGCGACTTCGGTTAGGGTTTGAGAGTTCTCGGCCAGTTTCTCGGTTGCACCTTCGGTCTCGGTCCCTATCTCGCAGTTCTCGGTGGCGGCACCTCGTTCTCGGTTAGGTCAAACAAGTTATCGGTACTACTTAGAGTCTTTGGTCAATATCTTCGTATTCAGTTAGCGTCTTCGGTCTACATATTCGGTGCGCTTCTTCGGCTTCGCATTCTCGGTTAAGTTTCTCGGATTATTAAGATATCGGCCAAGGTTCTCGGTCAAGAAACCACATTCTCGATCAAACGTCTTCGGCCTCGCATTCTCGGTTAGATTCTCAGATTATCAAGATTGCGGCTAAGGTCTCGGTCTAGAAGCCTCATTCTCAGTCAAGATTTTTATTTCGGACAAAAGGTTGACTTTCAAGGTTCTCGTTTAACAGAGAGTTGACCATTGGTATTTTTGGTCAGAGGGGCATTTATTTTCTTGGTTTTCGGTCAAAATCCATTTACACAATCAGATTTCTTCTGTTAGTAAATAATGAGTTTCTGCAAAAATACCAAGAAGGTAAGTGAAACACCATGCTCTCAGTACAGTGAAGATAAAGTTAATAAATATCGTGAGCATAATGAGTTATTAGTTAGAGAGGTTTTTGACCTTGAAAACGAAATATATGAAATCAAGAAAATAAATAAACCGCTTAAAGAAAAACTAGATGCTCAAAATAAAGATTTAATTAAGATTAGGGAGGAATATAGCACCAAATGTGTTCATCATCGTTATGCCAAAGAGGAAATTGCCAAATTAACTGTAGAACTTGATGCGTTAAAGGCTAAATTTAAGGATGCTGACTTTACTTTTAAGAAAATTGATGTGTCAAGTGAGAAAGTTGAGTCTATGATAGAAAAACAATTAAAGTGGAAAGACAAAAAGGGTACGGGTCTAGGGTATCATAATGTTCCATCTCCTTTCAATGATAACTATACTCCTCCCCTTGAAACCAAAGAGATAGAGACACCTACACAGTATGATCAGCCCCTTGTAACCGCCCTAATCAAGACTGAACAATCAGGTCCAATTGAGAGTATTAATGTGAATCATTCTAATGCTTCTACTTCATGTACAGATAAAGTAACTGTGCAATATGGGTTCGAGCAAAACAAAAATAATTCTAGTTCTGTTGAATCTGCTTCAAAAACTTGTGATAATAATAATCTCACTGTTTAAAAGTTCATAGTTATATGCATCAGATAGTGTATCCACGAACATTAAGCCACCCCCAATCAACGATGTGACACCTAACGAGAGTGTTGCGGATGTGTTTGTTCGGGTGACACAACTAATGTCGATTCTTGAAACTTAGTATTCTGAGGACACTGTTATCATTTTCTCCCCTGACTCCGATAATTTGATGATCCTACAAGCGGGTCTTGTTGGACTCGATCTTCGAAGGTGGGAATTCCTTTACCCTTTTGCAAACATTAATTAAACAACAAGATTTCAAATATTGAATATTAAGGGTTGGTCTAACATCTTTTTTTAGATAAAAAAATTGGGTTAAAGATATTCTTGATAAAAAAAAATCAAAACGTTCCTACTTGTATTTTTTGATAAGAATTGTGGTTGATGATTTTTACAGGCATAGCGAGCTTTCGTTTGAGCCCGGGGAAGTTAGGTTTTTCGACCCAAGTAGCATTCCTACTTACAAGCAACCTTTAATTTTGCTTCATCTTTTATTTTGTTACTTTTAAGGCTGTTTGGTCGTACAACAGAAAAACAGAAAGATGCATTGTTTCTGGAGCCTACATGTTGTATTAAACTAGAATTAAAGTTGAATGTTATAGAAAACATTTAGCTTTGTCACATTTTGATTAGGCTTAGATTTTTCAAAGTATGCATCCTAATCACCAAATATTCACTTGCCTTTCACTACTTTGGGTAGATTTGTCAAAATATTCACTTACCTTACTTTCATTTTTTTTGTATTATAACACACTACTTTTATTAGCATTGCAATTTAATTTTTTGTACATTATACTTTGACAAATGAAGTTGGATATTCTTAACAAATGACTGAATAAAAAAACTTCGACGTATATGAGAGGTTGCAAAATGTTTGTTGGTTTACATTAAATGCATTTTGTATTTTAGATGAATTCTTTGAAATGTTTTATTTAAGGCCAAGAGGAGTGGTCACGGGTGATTTGTGAGTGAAGGTGAGGACACATAGGTATTTTACCATTCCACAACCAACCCACCAGGGTGTGGAAATGGTGTTCCCCGGTGGGTTGGTAGTGAAGAGACAAAAAAGAAAGAGAGAGAAAGAAGGAAAATGTGAGGGGCCAGATTCATAACCAATCAGATGCATCGTCTTCATCCGTCCTACCACTCACGCCACACCCAACCCAACGACCATGGGGGCGGTGTTCACGCGTCTCCTCGGGTGCCACCAAGGATTTTCACGCATGGAATTCGTTCCACTCCGGTTAGCCTAATAATGATTTGTTTTGTTCATATGAGGCCTTATATTCTTTGACAATAATTTTGTTTATAAGTAACTAATAAAAAAGCATATATTACTATTTTTCCAAAGAGGAACAAAAAACCATATATTAATTGGCGGGATAATGACTTGAAAGGGCAACGGACTTTCAACTTTGTTCACATTTAGTCACTAAACTTTTTTTCATTATCTATTTGTTACTGAACTATTGAAACTATTCACATTTTACCCTTATGACCGGTAACAACCCGTCATAAAGGTAAAATGTGAACAGTTTCAATAGTTCAGTGGCAAATAGATAATGAAAAAAAGTTTAGTGACTAAATATATATGAACAAAGTTGAAAGTTCGTTTCCTTCTTAAAAAAGCTTAATGACTAAATGTGAACAAACTTTCCTCTTGTATTATGGTTTCGCAAAATTATGTATTTTTGTTAAATTTTAACAATATTTGTTGATGAAGAAATCTATGAAATAAAATTAAAAAAAAAAAAAACAAAACCCCGTAAAAGATATAAAAAACGAAAAACGAAGCCAATACTATATGTATAAGTTTTATGTTATAAAACTATTCAATATTATATGTATAAAAATTATCCTAATATTATATATGAATTTTATGTTATAAAATTGTAACGACGTAAATTTTCAAAACGCACTCCATGTTTAATTAATTAATAATTCAGGATCCTCGAAACATAATTCCTTCTCTGGTGTGTACAATCAAGCCGGTGCCGTCCCGCGATCCTGAGAAAACCTGAAACACATAACACATAATACGGTAAGCACGAAGCTTAGTGAGTTCCCCAAAATACCACATACAACAAATTCGCCACTCGAGGCTATACTCTGTAAGACCCTCCGGTCAATGTGTCTCAGCGGGACCCTCCAGTCCCATAGCTCGTTGGACCCTCTGGTCCGGTCTAGCTCGTTGTACCCTCCGGTCCGGTCTGGTTGAGGACCCTCTCGCCTCATAAATCGTTGGACCCTCTGGTCCGGTCTGTAAAGCTCTACATGGCATAAATCACAAAGAAATAATGCACATCATAAAACATAAGGCAGGATAACATAATACTCAATGTAAGCACATAAGACCTTCCGGTCACACATAACTACCCCTCAAGGTAAAGTATAGTGAGAAGACTCACCTCGTGTAAACTCGGATGATCTCGAACTCGAAACACTGATTTAGCCTCCGCCTAATCACATACAGAAATTACCTATAATTAACATTGGCTCTCAAAGGCTAGACTATTCCCTTCCTATGCTCTCTCTCAGATGGGTAAAAGACCATTCTACCCTTCCTGACCTCTTTCACTTATCTTGACCAAACCCTAAGGTCAACAAAATTCAACTCCAACTTTGACCAGACTCGTTGAGTGCACTCGGGAGACTCGTCGAGTCCAGTCAATTCATGGCAACCCCAGCAGGCTCCAACTCGACGAGCTAACCCCTAACTCGTCGGGTCAACACCTGGCTCAGTTCATCGTGACAAAACCCTGGCTACTCGCCGAGTCAGCGGCTCAACTCGGTGAGTCTATTCAGACTCTTTTGCATTCAAACCATTTTAGTGCAAGATACTTTCCCAAACTTCAGATCTATGCTCACAAGGCTCATTAATCACGTAAAGGTTCGATCTTTATGTCCATGCCTCACACATCTAGCTTTATTTGATAAAATGACCTCCATAATGGTGTCTTAGGCTCAATACTCTTATGTGGCTGCATAAAGCTGGGTTCTTGGGACTCTCTGGACCTCTCAAGGTCCAGATCCGACGTCTAAGCCTCAAAGGGACTTCACATATTCCATAACTCAACTTAAAAGAGGGTAAAGAAACCCTAAATTCATGAGATCTACTATTCATACGAACACAGGTATGGATTCATACCTTAAACAGCAGCCTTGAATGAAATAGGAGAAGATCTGAGCCCCTCAAGTCAGCTTAGCTTGAACCCTCTCCTTCTTCCTTGCAAGAATGCACCAAGATAATGAAAATTAGCTCCCTCTTTCTCTCTATGCTCTCTGGATCAATTAGGGTCTCCCAAGGGAAAGTGTGGCCGCAAATGAAGGCCATAAGGGCCTTTAAATAGGTCAAACCCGGAAAATTAGGGTTTCTCTGCCCAGCACCTACTCGGCGAGTCCCTCCTCTGACTCGTCGAGTCCACACATTAAATCCACGCGAGCAACTCGAATCGACTCGGCGAGTTGGTCCCTCAACTCGTCGAGTCTCTCCTTCAATCGATTAACATACACAATAATGTCCCTGAAAATTCGGATGTTACAATTCTCCCCCACTTGAATTAGATTTCGCCCTTAAAATCGCTCCTCAACAACAAATAGATCTAATCCAATAACCGAACGGTACCATCGAAAGGATCTTATACCACACAGCTATCTTCCTCTCTGGACACCTGAATCCAAACAGGAACTCCTCCCTGGAAAAGGACAGACCCATCTGCCACTATGCTACCCCTTCTGACTCTCAAAAATCTGAAAACTCTAGTAGCCTGCCACACAGCCAAACCGCCCTCTCAAGATATCACGACATTATTCGCTCCTCGAATAACAAACCTCGATAACTCACTGCACCTCTGATTCTCTAGTGGGGACCGATAAAAACAAGTTCATGCCCAAAACTGGCCACCGATCACTCGTCCCAGACATGATAAACAATCCAGATCATATACCAAGGAATGAAAGGATCACATCACACCAGGGACCCATCCACTGTACTGCAATCACAACCCTTCTGAACAACGAACCCTCAACACCCTGACCTGAGGCACAAAAAATGATCATGCTTGTTCAGAAGCGTCTTTCGACATCTGAAAAACATAAACCTCAGCTCCCTTCTCAATATCCCTTTCAAGACTGAGCACCAGGTCATCTCCCGACCCAGCAGTTGAACCTCCAAAGGTTACCCATTTCATGTACCAAAACGTCTCACTGACTTCCTTCTCAATACAACTATCTTGGCCCAATGTGACACACAAGTCACGAAGTTCGCTTTACCTCAAGCGAATACGGAATTTGTCTCACCCTCGACCTCTGTCGTCTACTACTCATTAGTTCCATGTGTTTCGCGGTTTTCTCATACCAACGAATTGACCCACTCAGGTCTAAGACACCAAATGAAAACAATACCCTCTTCCAAATGAAATTCATCTCTGAATCCGGAATCTCATTCTGCCTACTCAATAAACCACTAAAATCGAACTCAAATCGAGAGTCTGGTCCAGCACAGAATTGGAACCACTTATCCCAACAAAACACTCAACTCGCGACCCATGACCCGCAACCCACGTGTACGTCACTTCTCCGTTTCCTTCCGATTTCGGTCTCCACAACCTAACTTAGAATATACTGATTCTCGACCATTATGGAGACTTCCGTCTCTCTCTTGATCTGATTACCGGGTCCCCCAAGACTCAATCCCATAAGGCTACTCAAGCCTATGAACATTCCTGTGTCATGCTCTGACTAACGAATAAAACGGCTCCACGTAGCACCACGACACTCTCTCACTGGCTAGCGAGTACTATGGCTCCCTGCAGTATCACAACTCCCTCTCACTGACTAGTGAGTACTACGGCTCCCCGCAGTATCACAACACCCTCTCTCTGACTAATGAGTACTACGGCTCCCCGCAGTATCACGACACCCTCTCTCTGACTAGTGAGTACTACGGTTCCCCGCAGTATCACAACACCCTTTCTCTGACTAGTGAGTACTACGGCTCCCCGCAGTATCATATCAACCTTTCTCTAACTAGTGAGTACTATGGCTCCCCGCAGTATCACAACACCCTCTCGCTGACTAGCGAATACTGCGGCTTCCCGCAATATCACCACACTCTCTCGCACTAACTCATGGATGCTACAGCTCCCTGTAGTCTTACCGTGCTTTCTCTTACCACCCCATGATCTCATCCTGAAGTCGACGCCACCCTGCCTTCACTCACTCATGCTCCGAGCCCCAGCATAGATAGGTACACACACCCATCCAGGCTAAGCATCACTACTTCGGACAACCACCGCCATGACAAAACCTCCTTTTCTTGCTGCAATTCACATTCTCAGATAATCCCGTTTGATGTCAACTAGCTGAAGGGCCCCCACCGGAACCATAGATACTTGATACAACACTCGCCATCTCATAACTCAAGTCTCGAAATATTCCGAAATTTAGGACATCATACCCGGATGCCTCGGTACACCGTCACAGAATCTCATGATGTCTTGCCCCCACCATTGATCTCCTACTCACGACATCATACTCAGATACCGCAATGCACTCTGTCAGAATCTCACAACTGATCTTCCTCTCACACATCTTATAACTTCAAAAATCCCAACCCTCAACTTGAAACACAGAGAAATCGTCGATGACTCAGAACACGTTGTCGACGATCCGAAACTCCCTCCTCTGTTGCTCAAACGTCTGCAAGAATATTCATACCGACTCTGAAGTTGGTTGCCCGATCATCTCCTATCCTGCATATAACCATCCATTCCTTGAACTAAAAAAAATTCTCAACTGCCGAAGTTATTCTTACAAGCCAACCACCTCAAATTTACCATCACAACCTCGAATAATTTCTAACTATTATAGGGTCTCCGACCAACGGCCACCAGCCGTGGAGACACTCATCCATTCCTGTACAACATGCATCATCTCGCTCTGCACCTCGGCTCGATCACCAATAACCATGATCTTATGTATCCGCACCGCAGGTCTCCATATCCAGTTCTCTAATCGCACTAGAACAATTATCTGATTCTCTCAGTAAATAATACAGTTCTCCCCTACTCAGGGTTCGAACCATCCCCATTTGGTATACCACAGTCTACTCCACAGACTGGTTTGCCAGAGGCACCAATTCCGCCTTATGGAATATACCACACCGCGCTCGATGATCTTCCGGATAATAACCACATAACTCCAATTATCCCGAAATCCACAAATCCCATAAACCTCCTCACGAGACTGTCTCCAGCCATCTCGAAATCTCAGACCAACACATCGCCGAATATCCTAACTGTCCCGAGTTAGTCCCGTCTCTCAATCTGGAAATAATGCACTACCACACTTCTCGTCTCCAATCCTTCCTCCAACGTCCCATCGCGTGGATCATCATAGAAACAGGAGACTCCGCTCTCACAACCGATACACTACATAAGCAACGAGGGCCACCGCCCCGGTATACTCCTCGAAATCACCTGGAACTGCTGCTAAAAGTATGTCCTACCCAGGAAGGTATTCCCTTGATCTCTTACATCTCAGTCCTCATTAATAACTCTCTCATGGAATGGGACATACTTCGCAATAGACATGCTGCTCAAATACTCTGGTGGAAAGATCACAACCATATGCTACCCCACAGGGTTTACCTCCAACTCGGAAACCAAAATTTCGTTATCTCCTTCGTTTCCTAACAGGAAACGGAAAAAGCGCAACTCTTGTCACAGAATGTGACACCTCATCTACCGGCTGACTGCTCAACTCAGACCGCAGTCCTCCATAAAGCCTCATCCCTGAGTCTTGCGACTCCAACTGGCACCTCACCAGTAAAATTTCTCGAGACTAACTCAAGTTCCTTCTCAGGGTAGGTCCTACTGAAACTTGTTCAACACGGCCCTCTGGCCCCACACTCTATCACATCTGATCTCAGTCTAAACAATTACAACAGAATAACTGGTAAACCAGAAGCACTAACCACCACGAGTCATAGTACTGGAACCATGTGGCCACCTCTCGATCTGCTATGAATCATGGTACCCGAACCATATTACCTCCTCTCCATCCGCTAAAAATCATGGTACTCGAACCATGTTCTCTCTTCTCAATCTGCTACGAATCGTGGTACTCGAACCATGTTCCCTCTTCTCAATCCGCTACTTAGAACTTCTAGAATTCTCCATGTTTAGAGTATGGGTCCTCTGCTTTCAATAGTACGGGCCCATACTACCTGCCACATCTACCCATACTTTCCACACAGATCGTCCTAGATTTCCTAAGTAGTTGTTCAACCTTCTTGATCACCATTCTCGATACGCAAGTTCTCCCTCCAGCGATTACTCTCCTCCGCCAGCGTACTCATCTGACTAAGTCCACTCCCTAGGCTCTTCCTAGGTTCTAACACTTCTCTGCCATCAGCTGCTGAAGAACTCCTCATGATGCCAGCCATCTACCTCCTGAACATCGTCATATTCGCTTAGTAGTTGCCTCCCATCATCAAGAGTTCCACAAAGCACGAAGCAAGCAGCATTCGGGCATCGAATGACCCCTACTAACACATAAAGCCACTCCGGCATATACTTCCTCTTGCTCTATTCCCAACTCAAAAGACATTGCCGACTCAGGCAATCCTACCTCTCAAGGTATCTAACTACTCTACTCAGCACATACTCAAGAGCACATCACAGCTAACAGCAACTCCTAGGCTAAGGCATCACAAATCAGGCAACTCTAGTCCAAAAATATGTAATACCTAGCCTATTTCTAGCATGCATAATATCTCATAAAATATCTCATAACACAAAAATAAGGGTATTTTGGGAAATCACCGTTCAGGCTCTGGCTGATTGTACACACTGCTCCAACTCGTTTTCTCTTAAACTCTTTCTCATTTTTAGAAAAATTTATCTCTTTTGAAAATCTTTCTCAATTCCTCAGTTTGAGTTCAAACACACCCGAAGGTGCATCCGAATCCCTCAGACCAAGGCTCTGATACCAAATTGTAACGACGTAAATTTTCAAAACGCACTTCATGTTTAATTAATTAATAATCCATGATCCTTGAAACATAATTCCTTCTCTGGTGTGTACAATCAAGCCGGTGCCGTCCCGCGATCCTGAGAAAACATGAAACACATAACACATAACACGGTAAGCACGAAGCTTAGTGAGTTCCCCAAAATACCACATACAACAAATTCGCCACTCGAGGCTATACTCTGTAAGACCCTTCGGTCAATGTGTCTCAGCGGAACCCTCCAGTCTCATAGCTCGTTGGACCCTCTGGTCCGGTCTAGCTCGTTGGACCCTCCGATCCGGTCTGGTTGAGGACCCTCTGGCCTCATAAATCGTTGGACCCTCTGGTCCGGTCTGTAAAGCTCCGCATGGCATAAATCACAAAGAAATAATGCATATCATAAAACATAAGGCAGGATAACATAATACTCAATGTAAGCACATAAGACCTTCCGGTCACACATAACTACCCCTCAAGGTAAAGTATAGTGAGAAGACTCACCTCGGGTAAACTCGGATGATCTCGAACTCGAAACACTGATTTAGCCTCCGCCTAATCACATACAGAAATTACCTATAATTAACAATGGCTCTCAAAGGCTAGACTATTCCCTTCCTATGCTCTCTCTCAGATGGGTAAAAGACCATTCTACCCTTCCTGACCTCTTTCACTCATCTTGACCAAACCCTAAGGTCAACAAAAGTCAACTCCAGCTTTGACCAGACTCGTCGAGTGCACTCGGGAGACTCGTCGAGTCCAGTCAATTCATGGCAACCCCAGAAAGCTCCAACTCGACGAGCTAACCCCTAACTCGTCGGGTCAACACCTGGCTCAGTTCATCGTGACAAAACCCTGGCTACTCGCCGAGTCAGCGGCTCAACTCGGTGAGTCTATTCAGACTCTTTTGCATTCAAACCATTTTAGTGCAAGATACTTTCCCAAACTTCAGATCTATGCTCACAAGGCTCATTAATCACGTAAAGGTTCGATCTTTATGTCCATGCCTCACACATCTAGCTCTATTTGATAAAATGACCTCCATAATGGTGTCTTAGGCTCAATACTCTTATGTGGCTGCATAAAGCTGGGTTCTTGGGACTCTCTGGACCTCTCAAGGTCCAGATCCGATGTCTAAGCCTCAAAGGGACTTCACATATTCCATAACTCAACTTAAAAGAGGGTAAAGAAACCCTAAATTCATGAGATCTACTATTCATACGAACACAGGTATGGATTCATACCTTAAACAGCAGCCTTGAATGAAATAGGAGAAGATCTGAGCCCCTCAAGTCAGCTTAGCTTGAACCCTCTCCTTCTTCCTTGCAAGAATGCACCAAGATGATGAAAATTAGGTCCCTCTTTCTCTCTATGCTCTCTGGATCGATTAGGGTCTCTCAAGGGAAAGTGTGGCCGCAAATGAAGGCCATAATGGCCTTTAAATAGGTCACAAACCCGGACAATTAGGGTTTCTCTGCCCAGCACCTACTCGGCGAGTCCCTCCTCTGACTCGTCGAGTCCACTAATTAAATCCACGCGAGCAACTCGACTCGACTCGGCGAGTTGGTCCCTCAACTCGTCGAGTCTCTCCTTCAATCTCAAGATTAACATACACAATAATGTCCCTGAAAATCCGGATGTTACAAAAAATTATGCAACACATAAATTTACATACATTAAACCATATACATTGTTTATAAAAGAATACATACATACATTGATACATTATATATGTTGTTATACTCCATGTATTAACATACATCATATTAATATATTTACTATTAAAAATGATATTGAAAATGAAAGTCAAGCTGTTTTAGAATTTAGACTTTTTTAATTTACCTGGACAATTGATTTATATTTGAGATTGTATTTTCTTAAGTTTGAATAATTATTAAAATTTATGATTATTTAACTAGACCTATAGAGTTAAGTAAAATCATTAATATGTTTTATAAAGTGTTGCGCCCAAACCACCCATCCATAATACTTTTATAAAAATATTTTTTTTAGAATAAAAAATAGCTATATATTCAACAATTAAAACGACACTATAGGTGAGAATGATTCATTTTTTTTGTTAAACCAAAATCAGAATTGAAATTTTGATTTTTTATTTTGGAAAATACCAAGTCATTGGTTTTTCATTTCGGTTTTGATTTTTCGTTTTTTTTAATATATTTTTTGGGGGTTTTTTTTTATTTCATAGATTTTTTCATCAACAAATGTTGCTAGAATTTAACAAAAATTAATAATTTGCTAAAACATAATACAAAGAAGAAGTTTGTTCACATTTAGACATTAAATTTTTTTTTTAGAGAGAAAGAAACTTTCAACTTTGTTCATATTTAATCACTAAATTTTTTTTTATTTTTTATTTGCCACTAAACTATTGATAACCATTCACATTTTACCCTTATGACTGGTTGTTACCGGCCATAAGGGTAAAATGTGAACAGTTTTCAATAGTTCAGTGAAAAATAGATGATGAAAAAAAATTTAGTGACTAAATATAAACAAAATAAAAAATCTGTTACCCTTTCAAGTTATTATCCCATTACTTGCATATTGATGAATAGTTGAGACGTGGTTTCATCAATTTTGGCTATTTTCATTTTAAGAGTCAGTTTAAAACAAAAAACGATTTTGTAGTTGTCCAAATGTGTGGTTACTTTTTATAACTTGATTAATTTTATGAAAAACTTAATTATCATTCAACTTTAATAATTTATTTATTTATTTATTTATTTAGATGGATCCGAATTTGACAAATTTATGGATCCAAGTATCTCGATAATTCACCAAGTTTGTTTTTATTTTTTGTTTTTTTACGTAGAGATTGAAACTATTATCATTTTCAAAACTAGAAAAGTGTGCCGGGCGTTGCAGGGGTCAGAGTTATACAAAAATAGAGGTTTTGTCAGGCTGTATGAGGTGACCCCGTCACGTGTCATGAAGTACAATGTCATTTGCTGCATCTGTTGTGACTATGATTGACGTTACGTTTAAGAAGAACATCCCGGTTCTGTAGGATAGTCGGCTATTGCATTAGCTTGCTTACGAAACTTTTCGGTTCTTTCTTGGAGCTCCACATTCGTCCTCCATAATCTTTAAACAAAAAATCAAAATTCAAAACACTTATTAACAAAAGAAGAAACCAAAATAAATGATTCTCAAATTGCACAATGGCAACGTACTTACATCTTTCTACCATTATAGGCAACATACTTTATCTTTTAGCCAAAACCAACTTCCATTTTTCTAGCATTATAGGAAAGTGAACATACTTTTTTTTTGTAACCATAATAGCAACCAACTTTAATCTTTATATCATCACAGACAAGTATGATTTTGTTTCTTAGGCGGAATAGCAATGAAGTAGCATTTTTCTACCATTCATACAAAGTCATGGTAAACAGATATTATAAGAAAAATATAAGGGATGGGTACCTCCTTAAACAGTGTTTCCATTAATTTCAGATGTTAATTTTGGTGCAGGGGCAACAATAGTGGCGACACTGATACTTGTCCTGGAGGCACACAAAATCACATGGCTTACCAATTAAAAGAAAAAAAGAAAACGCAAGCAAGAACATAGTTTTTTAGTATAATAAAAAAGACTTCCCGTTATCTGCTGCAGTTTTTTCACCAAGTAAAGCATATACCTTTGAATCTATAAGGCTCTGGTGAAAGAAACATGAAGGATAATAATAAATTTATAATAAAAAGATGGATAAAATAAGAAAAGTGAGTTATTTTAACTTATTTATTTTTTAAATGAATCAAAGCCCGCTAAGCAGAAAATGAATTTTCAAAACTCATTTAAAATCTGGAGAATAAGTGAAAGATTAATACCTTCAGCCTCTTAATTGCACCTTGCATCTGAACCCACGAATCCCTACAAAAAAAAAATGTAGTTAGTAATGCATTCTAACAAACAATGTTTAGCTATTGTTATAATAAACCAAGCTTGTACAATATTCTAAGGATATTTGGGGAAAAGCAAATTTGTTTGTTTAGGACAAAACCTTTTCCAATTTCATTCTTATTGAAGTTTGTTTGTAGTCCCAGAGATTTCTCCTTCCGCTTTTCTGTTACAAAGAAACACATATAAGTTAGAAAAACTTGAAATATCTATCTTTATTGACTGTTTTAGGCTTTTAGCTACTAAACTATTGGTTTTTTTTATTTAATTACCAAACTATAATTAAAGGAGTATAAAAAAACCGGTGGCAACATTATTCATTCTAACAATAACATAAAGCAAAAGCAATCAATTAACCCAACAATCATAGTGAAAATCATCCGAGTACACCTTTGAAAGTGGAGGAAAATGGAATGGAAAAGAGTAGAAGAAGATGAGGCACATGAGTCCTTCGATCCGAAAGCTCAGTAGTGAAGGAGGAAGACATTTCTTCATTCGTTTACCAGCTTTCTTAATATCTTTACCATTCTTATTTAATAAATGTCTTCCCAGCAAGGGCCTCCCTTCTGTCCATGGTTTCGATTAGCCACCATGATCCGCCTACCACCTCCCCTGTGACCTGCCACCTACACCTGCCTTCATTCGACCTGCCTTTGATATCATAATGCATCGCATTTATACACTTTCATCTACAATCCTTACATACGGTTATAAACTATCTTACAGATAATTGCAATGTATACATGTATACAATTAACAAGTATGTATGTGTATCAAATTATATATCAATTGACAAAATAACAAAAAGAGAGAAAATACCAACCAGATGCCAATGGCAGCATTATCAGGAAACTTCTTAAGCTTCAAACAGTATTCTTCATTAGTGGTCATACTTATAGCAAAATCTCTTAGATGGCAATCAATGGTTGTTTCAAAGGCATTGTATGATTGAGATCAACCTATTTGAGAGTCAGCGTTATAGGACACACAGAGAATTCAACACATCGAGCCGCTTTTGCTAACATAAACTGCTCATTTTTTGTCAATGGCCTGTCAATCACTTTCACAATATTCACATCCTAAAAAATATACAATGTCAGTATGCTTTATCCTAAAAGTATATTTTGAAATATATTTCATGTATACCTTCTTTGGATGTTGAATAGAAGGCGTCACACTTGCCACGTCACCAACCTCAAGTATGTTATTAACATTCCCCCTATCATCACTTTCTGTAGGTGAAGTTGGTGACTGCCTCCAATCTCCATTCACTATAAACGTATAATAATACCTGAAACATTTGTCATCGAAGTAATTACTCACATCACATAGTTTGACAAAAAATAGTCAACTTAAATTTAAAGTAGAATGATAAAACTTACTTCCGTTGTGCAAGTCGAACTTCTGCTTCATATCGTGGCCCACCTTTATGAATTGCTTTAACCGGTTCTTTCCAATTCCTGGTGAAATCTCCAATTAATTCCACATTCTCTCCCTCATGTGCATTCCACACAAATGTGACAGCATGGGTAGCGGGCCCCTCATGTTTCGAATTTTCCACCATAGCTATCAAATCCCATGTTGACCATGCAATTGCTGCTCTATGAGGACGACATGTGTGTAATCCAGATACATAATTGTAAGCTGCATGAAGTGAAGTATCAGTCATCCAATGAACATATGCAATCACACAACAAAAATGTCGTTATACTCTTTATTGTTCCAAATTTTTTTTCAATTAATATGAGAAAAGAAAGGAGAAATTGTAGCTTTACAATACTTATTATTTAAAAATGGCCGTTATGATGAAAGTTTAAAGATTCAAAAATATTACTAATTTCAAAAGGTGAAGTTTTTTTAACATGTAGAAATTCATTATGTCTTTCCATATCCTCATCAACCTATAATCACTAAATATAATCCATATGTATACCCTTAAAATACCTCTTTCAACTTTGTTCCAAGGCGCAACAGTTTCTCCTTCATCCCACACTCATCTTCTTTATTCATTTGACTGCACAGGTAAACATGAGATCCCATACCTGACATCCGATCAACATAACAGTTTCTGATTTTCAAGCGGTTTGACATTAATAGAGTTAAACATATCAGAAAAAATTAGCAAGTTTTTTAATGTAAATAAAAAAACTTTAAGAATGAAGGCGTTTAATGACTTAAAACTCGCGATTTGTTGGTTATTGATCAGTGTAATGCATCTTAAAATTGATTATTAGGAACTGAATGAGATAATTAACTGATTAAAGAAACAAACAGGAAGTTAATTCAATATTTTTTTCAAATCAGAATTATATAAGAATTTATTGACAAACCTCAAAATCAACAGATTAAAGCAACGAATACAAACTTGTTGAACCATTCCCTCTCAGTTGTACATTCCAATCCTGGCCGGATTATAACCTGATGAAAACATAAAGAAGTAGCAAAAAAATCGAAAATACACAAAGAGACAATACGTCAAACACCTTACGTGCAAGAAACCAAACAAATTGGAGAAAAACTGTGAAATTACCTTGGGAAAAAAATCCGGTTCTGAGACAACTTGTCGTGGTTGTGTCGAACATATTCCTTGCACAAAAAGTGAGAAGAAAACATAAAAAAAGTAAAAACTTTACCATAATTCGTATGTAAATACTGCAAGAAAGCTGCATCATAAAAGAGTTGCAGGTTTCTGATTAGTAGTTGTTGACGCAACCTATTTTTTCCCTACAGATTGAAGACCGGAGACAACATCTCTTCAGTTGGATGTAGAACCCCGTTGACGTACCGTTCAACCACTGTCGAAGCAAACCCACCGAACACCCCCTTCTTCTTTACTGCTGCTGCTCGCGACACCTAACTGGAGACCAATGGCAGACCCCCTCCACCGGCGCCCGCCGTTGCTACGGTGCCTCTTCGTTTACCCCAACACGACAGCCAATCATCCCTCTTACTACCGACCGGTTACAAATCGAAGCCACCCTTTACCAAATACTTCTTCTATTTCGTTCGGGTGTCGGAGGTTTGTGCTGAGGAAGATAAAGTGAGCGGAAGGATCGGGAACAAAAAGGCGTGCTGAGGAAGATAAAGTGAGCGGAAGGATTGGGAACAAAAAGGCATAACCCTATGGTACCGGAGCAGCCCCTTTCTTCCATCACAGTTGAGGCGGAGGGGGGCGGTGGTGCTTTTCTGGAAGAAGCAAACGCGAAATAGTAACAATGGAGAACCGGGGAGACGATGAAGAAAGAGGAGTGAACAATTTGGAGCGGAGATAAGAAGGATCGGGAAGGTTACTTGAGAGGCGGTGGGTTTGAGCAGAGATAAGGAAGACTATGGAAGGATCGGGAAGATTAGCTGAGAGGCGGTAGGTTAGAAAATGGAGAAAATGGCATAAACTGCCCATCATAAATGAAGGACGAAACCAGAGGACCGGATATGTAAATGAAGGGACCAAAACTGGCAAAAATATCTCAGGTTGTTCTTTTCCTCCATAACTTTAATATATATAATAATATTCATCCTGCATTTTATGTAATCTAAATTGAATTAAAAACAAAATTAAGTTATTAAGAAAATAATCTTTATTTAATTGACAGTTTCTAGCACGGTTCTAAAAAGCGCGTCATGGCGCACCTCAAGGCGTGCCATGGCGCGAGGCGTGACCTAGCCGTTACGAAAACGTCCAATGCGGGTTTGTTAAGTGTGACGCTCAAATAATGTGTCAATGCGCGCCTTATCGCGTTAAGGCGTGAGTTTTTTTCAAGGCGCGAGGTTGTTCGGTTATTATTTTTTTTTTCTAATCGGCCCAAAATTAATTGAGTTTTTGTTAACTTTTTATATTAAATATTAATATAACACTTCTAAATACTTGATATATTTGATAAAATTCAATAATTATATGATTTGCCTTTTTAAATTTATATAAAATAGTCACGCCTTGAAAAACGTCATGGCTCGTCAAAGCTTGTCATGGCTTAACTTTGACTTTGTCGTCAAGCTCACGCCTCACGTTATTTAGAACTTTGGTTTCTAGAGATAAAAAAGATACAAATAAATATAAACGTAAGTAAACTTTTTCTACTAAAAAATATTTTCTACTATTATATTTTTTTTCTACTTTAATGCATAATGTTTTTTATCATATTGTGTCAACTAAAACCTTCATCGTTTTCTTAGTACCAACCAAAGTAGCACAAAACAACAGTGTATCTACTCTAATAAATGAAAGTTTTTTTTATCATATGTCACATTCTCATTCAATTTGTCAAATGTCATTTTATGGTTATTTTGAATTAATTTTTTTCCACATGTTATTTTATAAGTTTTTCTATTTTATTAAATTCAACATAATATTTTAATGTAATAATTTCAATAAATGTAATAATAAATAGATATCAATTTCATTAATGAACTTACATTTTAATTTTAAAATTCTCAAATTAAAGCTCATTAGTTTTTATTATTTATTTATTTAAATTATTTGTTTAAATTTAAAAAATAAAAAACATTTCAATTAGAATAATTCATTATTTTTCTTATTTTCTTATAAATTCAAAGTTCTCAAATACTTTGACATTTATATTTAACATTTTTTATAAATTAACATATGTATTACCCGGGTCTCACAACTAGTTTTTTACAATATGACATGTTTATCATCTTAAAGAAACTATTTCCCTTGAAAAAACTATGCACGTCCCTCCCAATGATCTACTCTAATAAATGAAGATCTATTTTGTCACATGTCAATCTCTCATAAGTTTTGACACTTGTCATTTTGTGGTATTTTTTGAAATAAATAATATTCACATGTCAATTTCTAGGTTTTTTTTTTAATTTTTAAAATTAAAAAGCCACATAATACATATAGCTATATAAGTAAAATATTAAATATAATAAATATGATCTTAAATTGCAATAAATATGTTTTTTCCTTCCTTATTTTAAAATTTAATTTTTAAAAATACTTAATGTTTACATTTTGATATTGAATTTTTTTTAATTAACTCATGTAATACATGAGTCTCACACCTAGTATCTAATATCTGACATCTAATCTCTAAAAAGAAACCATTCACCCCATATGGGATGTCCGCTGCAACTTACACTATGCTACATAGACAATTTCAAAAATCAACTGCATTTACTAATTATGACTAAATAAAAAAAATATATTACCATAATTAACTTTATCATATGGATAGTTGGAAAAATCTTAAAAGAATTTTATTTTGTTCAACTTTATTTTAATTTGTTAATTCTTTTAAGTTATCCAAAAATATAATATTTTTATTGTTATATCACAGTATTTGGCCTATTGAATTTACAAGGTTTTAGATAATCACCACATGCATTCAAACCAAGTAAACAACCTACTAATATTTTTAAACCAAAACAAAGCCATGCATTTTGTAACATCATGTTTTGGATCGTTCTATGATTTAAGGCTCGTGGGCCATAATTTGGGTATGAGAAGGTTTTGAGGCTTTAAAGAATAAAGTTTTAGACCCTTTTGGATGTGGGTAAGCTAGGTTGTGTGATAAAAGATTTCGGTTTGTGCTTTAGAGCCCTAGGGTATCGGTAAAAGCGTTGGTTCGGGCCTTTCATGAATTTTGGATGTGAGTTCGAATGGGTTTCAGAAAAAATAAAGTTGATAGAAGTGTAGGGCTTCTCGCTACCTTTTCGTTGATATAAGGATCGTCAGAAACGGACTAATAACAAAGAAGTTATGGCCTTCGGAAGCTTGGTGGTTTTAGGGTTCAACCGGGTACGAGGGGCATACACAATGGGTACGCTGGGCGTACTAGTGCAGAGAGCAGTACGCGGGGTGTACCTTGGAATACGCTGGGCGTACTGACCAGGATGGTCGTAGGTGCTCCTCGGAGTACGATGGCATACCATATATACAATTGGCGTACTCCAATCAGACCCAAACCCTATTTTAGGGTCTTAGACCCGATTTAAGCTCCTTATCTCATAACCTAACCCTAATATCTTCGGCCTCCATCCCTCTAAACCCTAGAAATCGACCATTAGCCTCCATTTAAGTGATTCTTGAGCTTTTTGGTGGTTTAGTGGGTTTTTGGTTCTTATTGTGGAAGAGGGAGTTTCTTGAGGAAGCATTGCTTAGCTTGGAGTTTATGGATCCAAGCCCTAATCATATTGATCTAGCTCCAAACAGTATAAAGTTTGAATCTTGGTGGCTCTCTCATGTGGATCTAGTTGGGTTATGACTTGTTATGTTTGGCCCTTGAAGAATAAGGAACTTGGTGATCAAGTTATTGTTGGAGTAAAGCTTCTAGATCCAGAACCTTCATCAACTTTACAAGCTACTAAAGGTATAAAGTTTCTATCTTGATGAATCATGTGTTTGATCTATCTAGTTTTGGGGTTGACCTTTTTGAGGTTTTTTAGTATTCAAAGTCATAAAAATGTGATCTTGGTCCATTCCTTCCATCCAAGCAAAGGATTATGAAGTTTTGGTTTTAGTGTTAAAGTTAGAGTTTGGGTTTGAGCACATTTAGCCACGACAAGGCATAAAGTTGGGAACTTTATGCTGTAAAATGCCTTATTGGACCAGATCTGAGTGTGGGTGAAAGGACTTAAGGAGTTAAGGACTAAATGTGAGTTATTGGCCTCTTTATGGAGTTAGAGTGCTTGAAATCATATTTGGGCCCCTTTGAGCCATGCTAAGGCTTACATCCTTCGACTTTAAGGATTAATTCATTATTGTGTGATTATTCTGAGGTGTTGGACGTTGGACTTAATGGAATAACTCATTAGAACAAGAAATGTAATTTCACCGGCAACGTTGTGCGTAATCCTTAGGAACGCAGCGCGTTCCGACCTGAGTCCCCGTCAAGCGATCCAACGAGGAACGTTGTGCGTTTCGCCCATGAACGTCGCGCGTTCGTCTGATCAGTGGAGTTGTGGGCTTTCGACTTGGACTCGTTTTTGAGGTTAGGCTTTGTTGTTTTGGGCCTTGTTGGGCTTGCCGTGTTGGGCCTAGGGAGTTATTGAGTCAGGCCTTAGTGGGCCGAATTTGGGTTTGGGCCTTAGAGGGACTATTTAGATTGGGCCTTGTGCTTTGGGTATAACCCTGAATGTTATCTGAGAATGATCTTGTTTGTCCTAGTGTGTGGAGTCGTTGTGCAGCAGACACGAGTGTAGGATTTGTTATCCATCGACTAAGGTGAGTTTTCTCACTATACTTACCTGTGTGGTAATTTATGTGTGACCGGAGGGTCTCAGTCGTGTTATTGACGGGAGAGTCTTATTCTTATTATTGACCGGAGGGTCTTATTTGCTTATACTGAGATATGTGTTAATATGAATTATGTCTTTGTGACTTATGTTGTTATATTATTTTGTGTAGATATTGAGTTATGATCGGAGGGTCCATACCGAGACATGGGACCGGAGGGTCTTCACTGATACACGTGACCGGAGGGTCCTTATCGAGATTTAGCCATGAGAGGCTAATTATTTGTGTATGTGGATTTTAGGGAACTCACTAAGCTTCGTGCTTACAGTGTTGATTTAAATGTGTTTCGGCTACTTTTGTAGATCCCGGGAAGGTGGAGGCATGATTGTACACATTCGTCGGCTTATGATGTCTTGTGGATTTTGGGATACTCTGATATTGTTTAATAATGATTTAAAATTTTGTGATGACTTGGATTTATGAATAATGTTTGGTGAATTAAAAATGAAAAAATTGTTTGAAATTCGAGGTGTTACAATTTGGTATCAGAGCCTTGGTTTGAGGGATTCGGGCACACCCTCGGGTATGTCTAGACTCAAACTAAGGAGTTGATAACTTTTCAAAAGAAATGATTTTCCATCACACGATTTTCCAAGGAAAGTAAAGAGTTTTGAAAGCATGTCTGAAGCAGTGTTCACAATCAACCAGAGCCTGGTCGATGATTTGCTAAAATACTCTTACTTTATTATGTGCTGCGATGAGTTGTTATTATGAGCTGATAGAATTGCATGCTAGTTTAGGGCTAGAGATATGCTTAGTATTGCATGCTAATGTGCCTGCTTATGAGAGATGCCTTTATGCTTGTTATGTGAGTTGGTAGTGTTGCATGCTTATGATTAGTGATCTCCAGGAGTTGTGATGTAGGATTGCCTGAGTTCGATGATGCATTTTGTGCTCTGGTTAGAGTAGTTAGGGTTGTATGCTAGTGTGGTTTCGTGTGTTGGTTTGGATAGCCTGTGTAGGTTATGTGCAGGTAGAGGTTGCTTAATGCCCGAATGATGCTTGCTTTGTGCTTTTAGAGACTTCCATTAATATCGACTAACTATTAATCGAATATGTTAGGTTGCATGTTGCAGGGATTAGATAATTTTAGAAGGTTAGATTTAGCTCTATTGCACAACTCTTGTTTGAG